ACAAAGGCAAGTGACAAAGTGCTGACTGGCCCGCCTCTTAATTTCCCTCTCTCGCTCACGTATAAATCTTTACCTCTCACAACCCCGAAGTAGTAGTTGCCATTTATCCCCTAATACTACTAGATAGTCTAGATTAATACCGCATAGCCACTATGGCCAGGTACGCAGGCACGCAGGTACGGCAACAATAGAAATTCAATTCAGTTTAGTTCAGTCCCCGCCCCGCGGCGGCGTTTGTTAAGCGGCATTGCAGCATGCATTCAGAGGCTGAACGATTCATGTCTGTATCAGGAATTAGATGTGGAGCAAGGCCAAGACTGTGATACATCCTCGGGCCGACCATCCGGTCAAAGCGACACTTCGTATCTAAAAAAGGAAATTCATTGAGGACAGCTGTATGGGCGGAAAGTCGTCCTTTAACCGCTTTTCGTCAATTAAAGCGCATGAATACCGTAGGATTGAATTGATAGAGGTGACCTCGTACGACTGAGCACCGACTGAAAGGGGTAGACTAGCACGTACCGTAAGGACGAGTCGACGACTTCTCGCCCTCGGCGGCGAGGTGGTCGAGGACACCGTTACCGAGCCACAGACCCTCTATGTTTGCGCGCAGTTTCACGCGAGGGGGCAGAGTAGATCTTGGTGCCTCTTGATCTGACCAGTGTCTCGAGGTCGTGAAATTTGGACCTATCCGCGTCTGCCAGATTAATATTCATCCGCGGAGACCTCATCGCCCGCGGCGGTTGAAATTGAAGGAACTTCCTTCTGTGCAACCTTTTGCGTGTACTGTTCGGTTCCTTGCAGAAGATTGCGTCGTTCAATATCGCCAAATGGGACAAAATGAACGAATTGAACGAGTGCTGTCAACCAAGCAGTCATGGCGGCGGACTTATGGGAGTTCAGGCAGGGCGGGCGTACGAGCCTGCATGAGTGGATGCTACTAGCTCATTCATGTGTGCCGTGAATGATTAGATTAGATTTCGCGGCGCACAGCCACCTGTCAAAGCTTCTTTCAGCTCGTTGCACTCAAAAAGCTTTTCCTAGCCTCTCTCGTCTTCACATTCCTCGGTTTTTCCCCACCCGGCCATCCCTGTTTCTTTTTGAGCTTGCGCTCGGGTTGCTTCGGGTCTCGTTCAGACTCACGGTGGCTCTTGCATACGGGTTCGGCCGTGCCCGCACGTCCCGCTTCTTCCCGATTCGCTCTACCCGCTGAGCCGCAAAGCCCCGAATCGGCCGAACCCCTTCCCACACAGACCTCGTCCGACCTCTGTATTAGCCCGCATATCTACACTACAGCTATTAGCTGGTAGTCTAGATTCCTCTCGTACCTGTTCTTCGCTAGTCTGCTTACAACGCGCACTCTACCTTGTGCAAATATGTCACTGCTTTTCGGCCTTTTTGGATCGAGGTTTTCTCAAATTGCCCTTTCGGGCAATTGAGCACTGGGGCACTTTTGAACGTCTGCCACCATGTCCTCGACGGCGTCTACATCTGCGCCGGTAGCACACAATGCGGTCCCGCCGCCGCTCGTTCCTTCCGCCGGCCGCTCGTCGCGTATAGGGCCCCATTCACACATAAAAGGCCTCGGGCTCACCCCAGATGGCACCGCGCCCACAGACGCATCTGGCTTCATTGGACAGACAAATGCTCGTGAGGCGTGTGGTCTCATCGTGGACCTCATAAAATCGCTCAAATTCTCTGGACGCGCGTTGTTGCTGGTGGGCGGACCTGGAACAGGCAAGACCGCTCTCGCGCTGGCAGTATCGCACGAACTGGGCGTCAAGGTTCCCTTCTGCTCTATGGTTGGGTCCGAGGTCTACAGCACCGAGGTTAAGAAAACCGAGGTTCTCGCCGAGGCGTTTCGACGCGCAATAGGTGCGCAACGGCGCGTCTCATTTCGTGCCTTTTGGCCGACTCGATCACGCAGGGTTGCGGATAAAGGAGACCAAGGAAGTTTACGAGGGCGAGGTCACCGAACTCACCCCGACCGAATCTGAGAATCCACTCAGTGGGTACGGCAAAACAGTCTCTCATGTCGTGGTTGGCCTCAAAACCGTCCGGGGCACCAAGCAGCTGCGCCTCGACCCCATCATCTACGAGTCCATTCTCAAAGAAAAAATCTTCGTCGGGGACGTCATCTACGTCGAGTACGCGCTGTGAAGGCGCGCGTCTCCGATTTCGTTGTATTTTATTGCATGACACAGAGTCCGCTTAGCGCGTTGGCCGCTCGGATGCCTACGCCTCGTCATACGACCTCGAGTCCGAGACATATGTCCCGCTGCCAAAGGGCGACGTGCACAAGCGCAAGGAGCTTGTGCAGGACGTGACCCTCGGCGACCTCGATGCTGCGAATGCGCGGCCGCAGGGCGGGCAAGACATCATGAGCGTCATGGGAAGCCTCGTCAAGAGCGGTCGCACAGAGATCACTGAAAAGCTGCGCCGTGAGGTGAATAAAGCTGTCAAGGGGTACGTCGACCAAGGCGTCGCCGAGGTCGTCCCCGGCGTCGTTTTTATTGATGAGGTGCGTACCTACATGTCCCGGTGACATTGCGTTGACGACGGCCCGCAGGTCCACATCCTCGACATCGAGTGCTTCACGTACCTCAACTCTCTCATCGAGTCGCCCATGGCGCCGACTGTCATTCTCGCGACGAACCGCGGCAACTCGGTGGTCCGTGGCACGTCCGATATTGTCGCGCCGCACGGTATTCCCGTTGACCTCCTCGACAGGTGCGTTCCTGCGCGCTGCTTCCTCCCAATATACTCAATTGAACTAGGTGCATGATCGTCAAGACCGACGGCTACACCCGCGATCAGGTCGGGAAGGTCGTGCAACCGCGCGCCAACATCGAGGGTCTGCGGCTCGGTAACGGTGTCCTCGACCACCTCGCCGCCGAGGGCGAGAAGTCGTCCTTACGGTGCGTGCTAGTGTACCCCCCACCCTTATACATTCTTCTTCCCTACATTTGATACTAATCCACTGCACGGATACGATGCTAACTGCTGCCAAACCAGATACGCCCTCCAACTCTTAACCCCGGCGTCTATTCTCGCGGGACTAGCGGGGCGCCCGACAATCGAGGTGGAGGATGTCGGCGAGATGGGTGAGTTGTTCCTCGACGCCAAGACGAGTGCCGGGATGATCAGGGAGGATGGCGGGTTTTTGGGCGGTGGGCGGTAGGCGCTGGGTGCGTCCGCCGGGTATTAGGATGTGCAAGGCGGTGTGCGGCGTGTGTACGTATTAATAGGTGCGATTCTTCTCCAACGTCACGAGTGTATATGTTGAACTTCGGGCAGGGCTGTCTACTCTTGCTATGAATTTATTGCTCCTCGTCCGAATCTCCTCACAACGACGCCTGAATTTCCTACGTCGACTCCTTTCGCTGTTGCTCATGCAAGTGCTAATTATCGAGTTCGCTCAGAAGATTCTCGGCCCGCAACCTATCTCTCTCTCTCGCCCATCAAAGGGAGGATTTTTCGCAATCGCCCGGTACAGCCTGCAAGTAGCTCTCCATTTTTCAAGGCTATTATATTTGTGCCGTTGTTCTGAAACTCACGAAAGAACAAAGGTGGACCTAGGCCTACATCAGGTACTAGGCAACGCCTTCCATTTCAAGGCTAACACAATTGGTACTGTTGTTCTGTCTCACAAAAATAAAGGGTTCCGACTCGATGTCAAGTATGTGGAGTCGTTGGCCACGCGAGATTATGTACGAGCGAACGCACCACGTCGTTGATGAAGACGATACCAGGGACTACACGCCGGCAACGCCCTGACTTGCCCTGAAAGGTGTATCCGGTTCCCATTCAAGTTTTATAATCTTTGGGGCGATGCTTCTGACTCACCAAAGAACAAGTGCCGACCCACTTATGGCACAGGTTGCCATATGGGCACCGATGCTTCCCTTCTCCATTTCAAGTCGTGTTCTGACTCGCGAAAGGACAAAGGTGGACCCATAACTCCTTTTTTCAGCCGGGCGGCCCGAGACCGCGATAGAAAATCCCCTCAACTTGCACGCCATCCTCAATCCAGCAACTCGAATAACACCCAAACTTACAGCGAGAAACTTGGTGTGAAATTCAATAATAAGGTTTGGAAATGTCTGCTAACTCGGAGCGTAGGGGCCCTGGTAATCGATTTGCAGGTACGTTGCATTTTGATTCGCGCGTTATGGAGCACGAAACTAAATTCATTTGCAGCCGGATGCTGAAGATGAAGGATCTGAGGAGGAGGAGCTGGCTGAGGAAGCTCCGCGACGGCCGATAAGACTTGTTCGTGGCGGGCACGGCCTACCGATTCAGAATCCTTACCAGGCGGGCTTTCCTATTGGAAGTATATTATTCCGCGTAGGGTTCGCCGGTAGAGGCGCCACCAGGGGGCGGGGAATGTAACGTGTTTATCGGTGGTCTCGTGTATGTCTATGGCGTACGGAACGGATGTAAGTATCCATGTGGGGGATAATTGAAGCCCTCCGCCCAGCGCGGACCCTGTTTCACGGCAATAGATTATCTCTGTTGGATCTCCGACGGATCCAGATCAAACTCGTCTCGCCTCGCGCTGTGGGCCCCGCAGGGCTCGGAGATCCAACCGGTCGTCCGTAATCGGCAACTAGGGATGTTCCTTCTGTAATGGACACCGAGCGTGCAGGAGCCGGAGACAGATGGCGCCAGAAACCTGGGCTTCAACACGATGGATGGAAGAGATCTCGTCTGTCCCTCGTTTTTCCACTACTGCTAGATCCACTGGCGAACTGTACGACCTATCCCAACTCGAGGCAGGGAGGGGAGGAGTTCAGAAGCGGAATTTTCGCGAACTCGCGCTTCCTAATATATCTCGGGACGCAACACACGCAACACAGTACTAGTGATCGGAGACGCAATCTTGTTGCATCTCACCAGCACTAAATACGCCACGTAAATTGCTCAAAATATTCAGGGCGACGGGGAGAGAGGGGAGCAGGAGTTCTAGTTAGTCCCCAAAAGAGTGAGAGGCAAAAATAGGGCCTAACTGGGAATTGAACCCAGGACCTCCTCGATATCACGTGACCGTCATGATTGCATAATCATGACAAATCCCTAACAAGGAATCATACTACTAGACCATCAGGCCGATGGAAGAAGGGCCCCAAGACTAATCTTCAGGATAGACGACACACTTTTCTCCCATACTTCCCCCCTCTCTCCCAGCCCACCAATATTACATACTTAGTCACGGTACGCCAAAGAAACCACACTGACCAGTGGCTCTAAATCTTAGACTGTCATCCGACAGTGTGCGCAACTGCTCACTTGTTCGAGTCTTAGCTCACTGGACAGTGCTTTTTTGAAGTGCAAGGTGACTTGAAATCGCCCATGCTACTTGCACATTTCAGTGCAGAGACTTCTAAATCAGTGACCGGTGAGCATAATACAATAAATCTCCGCGAATAAGATAGATTCTAGGCACACCCTGCTACGCGACAAGCATCGGAAACAGTCAGTGCTATATCTTATCGATCCCGCAATAATAAGGGTTACTTAGTTCGCGAGCGAGATGCCAAAAAAAGGGTTGTCTAACATTAACCCAGTATCGTAGTAATACAGAAGTCCGCCCATTCTACTTGAACCTCGTCAAAATATTGCGGAGCGGAACGGGCATGCGACTTTTTTGTGTCAGAGTCCCCGAAACCGATGCACGCCTCAGTACATTCTCGTTGAGCGTCCACCGCGTACGAGTTGGGGTAGGCGGGTTCGGCGAGCTAGCTTTGTTTTCCTTGGTAGTAGCAGTCGAGAAGACGCGGCTAAGAGAGTTGCGTCCACTGGCGGTTGCATTTTTTGGTGGACTTCCCATGGTCGCGGTACAAGGCTTGATGGGAGATGAGACAGGCGAGGCCAACCGACAGGAAGCTGCGGGGGTAGTAGCCCTCCTTTGACCCGGGGATCGGCCGAGAGTCGACGTAGGTTTGGGAGGAGGAGATCGCAGAGGAGCGGGGATCGTGGGGCGCACTGTGTGAGACCGAGGGCGGAGAGGGAACTGCTGCTTCTTGGGAGGACTCGCCGGGCCAAGCGATCGACGTGGAGCTCGAACAGCTGGGATCGCAACAGAAGCCGGACGTTCGTTTGGCAGGGAGGCGAAGCGAACACTCTTGGAACTCTTCAGGATGCTCCGTACGCTCGCACGCTGGGATGCTGGGCAGGGTGGCAGCGGCGTTGACGGAGGAGCATTCGCAAAGTGTCGATCGGTCGAAGACGAAGGACCATCTGCAAGTGACTCTTCGGCGTAGTCGACCATGTGCGGCAGAAGAGGTTTCTTGACGAAATCTGAATCAAAGGGCCGCGAATTGTACAATCCCAACAGGCCGTCCGCGAATGCCCACTCGTCGTCTTCTCCGCCTGCCATAGTCTGAAATTCATTCTCCATATTGGCGGCGTCGAGTGGGGCACCAGAATCCATCGAGGCGCATTGCGACCTCAAACTCGTGACCATTTGTTGGAGATCCATCGAGCAGCGGTTAGGGTCGGACGCAAACTCAAACTTGGGGGAATATGCGGAAGGAGAACCCAGGAATGCAGTAGGCATGCTAGGGTATGCAATCTCGTCGGAGGATGGCTTGCATGACAATGGCGGCAGCATCTTCTTGCCTCTGCGAGCCGCCAGAGCAAGAGGAACGCCGGGTGTCAGATTTCCCGACGATTCAAGTGAGACTGGCAAAGAGAAATGGGAATTGGAAACGATAAGAGAAGGCGGCAGGGGTGCGACTGTGTGATCCGAGTGCGCCTCTTGCTTCTTGAAAAAAGAGTTTAGGTTCTGGAGCTCGGAAATCATCTCTGCAACCTCCGGATCCATTGACTTTGCCGAGGCCTGGAGTGACAGACGACTGGATTTACCGCCAGAGTCCAATATGATTTGGCGTTCGAAAACTAGTGCATTTCGGTTGGCCGTCTTTTGGCAGATATCTAGAGGGGCCGTGATTGATATCGAGGGAGTTGGGTCTTGCCCCTTCAACGATTCGGGGGTGCGGTTGCGTCGAGCGAAAGCCATTTTCGTCTTGAATGCGCCTGGAGTGCAAATTGAACCTTCAGGCTTCCAGGGGATCGGGTCGGCGTTGTCAATGCCGCCCCAAGGCGTATGGTCAGACGGATCAGGGTCGACACTATGCTATTAGCGAGTGGGGGTTAGCGCCGACACGAGGCTATACGCAAGAGGTAGACTTACCAGCCACGTCTCGACGAGTAATTTCTCCCTTAGCATTGTTCGGAGCCGCGGTGGAGTAGGCGATGTGAGTGTAGCTTTGGAGGCCTTGCGCAAGGAGGTGCGCCGAGACATGGTGGGACCTTCGTGATGCCCAATAATGGTAGACAGAGGGACCATGCAGCCTGCGGGGATGGGTGGGGTAGATGATGTGGACGAGGACAGAGAAGAGAGCGTGAGGGATTCAGATAGTAACGAATCATCGAGGAGGTAGTGGCTGAGATCCAGGGATCCAGCGGACGTATCGGAAGGGAGGGGACCGGAGCCAGCTGAATACATGTACAAGGAGGTCATGGTGGAGAAAAGAAATGGTTTGCATATTGCGGCTGACCTGAAATGTCTCAATTCGGACCGCGCTTGGCTCGAGTTCTATTGTGTGAACACAAAAGACGAGTCGATGAGTACATAACACGTAAAGATCAGCCTTCTCTTTCAACTTTTTCCCTCTCCCCGCAATGGCGGATTTCACAACGACGCAAATGGAAATGTATGTTTTGCGCTATACGAAGGAGTGGGACCGTCTCAAGCGTGACCCGACATCGCGCCTTGGAGCGCGCCAAGGAGGACGCCAGTGTAGTCATTGTAAGCAAGGTATCCAGGATGCAGTGCGTGCTCTCTGATTCTACCTGCCGCGACGCTGAGGAACGGGAAGGTCAAGGTTTGCTCGGGGTGTAAGATGGTCATCTATTACTCGCCTCAATGCGCCAAAACGGGATGGAAGACGCACAAGGGATGCTGTTCCGCGCTCAAGGTCAGTAAGAATACTTGCGGGTCTAAATTTTAGAGCGTGATTTTGCTTTGGATTGACAGAAAGACGGAGAACGGATTCCAACATATAAAAGTGTTATAAACCAGTTTCCATGGACGGACGTCGCCTACAACATTCACGGCATGTTCGATGAGCTTTTTGTCTTGGTGCAATTTGGTCTTCTCGGGACGAGCCGACAAAAAGTCGGATATTGGGCGCTTTACGAGAAAAGAGAGGGTGTCGTGGTTAACGACGAGGCCCTCGATGCGCCGTGGTGCCAACTGACTGAAGAGGAAGGATGGAGGCTCCCGGTCGAGCACATTCCTTCGCTGACGCCCCAAACATGTCCGAGCTTCCCCCCTACTTTCGAAGAGACTTGGAAGAGCTACTACCAATGGCGTGGACTTCCGATGACCTCGCCTGCAGCTTCACTCCTACATTGGCCCATGTCCGTGTACGCATGCTTGAAGGAACTGGGTTTCGTAGAAAATCCTGTTTCTCTGGGACCAAGGAGAAAGTTGACTGTCTTCTATGTGGGTGTCAGGGTGCGGGACGTTTCCTTGTCCGTTGTTAACTCTGCTCATGAGTCGAACCTTAGAATGAGATTGTCTTCATACCAGTGTAGTTATGACCTCTTCGTTTTCCGGAAGACTTATTGATGAAGAGCGTGCAGCTTCGGAGAACTTGCGCTCCACTTTCCTAACACAGACTTGAATCTCGTAATGTTTGAACAGAATGCAGCGCACTCAGTAAAACGTGCCAAAGCCCGTGGAATTACACAATCTTCCCTGCCATGTGTATTCGAATACACCGCTCCCGCATCATGTGGCGGCGGTGCGGTCCGCATCTTCCTTGACTCTGATCCAGCGTATTATCGTCCGTTTCGGGAACGAGGCGGGCACCCTGATGCAATTGTTGCTCTAAATGCAGGTCTGGGGACATACATATCTTGGTAGCATGTCATCATGCTCTCCTCCGAGTTCGATATTCCGTTCGCCGTTACCGATTACTGTGAAGCTTCCCTGGGGGACGTTCGACTGAATGTGCTAGAGCAAGCATTGACCTCCGCTTTACCCCCTGCTAAAGGTCTTGAAGCGATCCGCCTCCATGTAGGTTTTTCGTTTTGCCACGGCCGAGGATCCCATCTCAGATTTGCCAGGCGATCTTCAAGAAGGTGGTCGAGGAGGTACAGATAGCGGACGTTGAGAAGGTATCCGCGGCATTGAGAAGGGATCGGCCAGTGAAGTTCAGCAAGTTCATGCAACCGGGTTACCGCGCAACTGCCAACAGCCTTTCCCCGGGGTCTTGCAATGCAGTTATCCAAGTGATCAAACCAGCAGTGGCCAAAGCTGCGGAGAAATAAACACGTTGGCATTCGTAAATGTCGTTATAATATTCTTGTCGCCTCTGTAGTCGTGTGTACATGGCCTACGATGATGGCCAGCCAGCAGATGAGACAGTTGTTGTGACACTGTGATCTTGAAAAGGAAGCGACGTTACGTGACCTTGTCACGTCAAAAAGAAAAGGCAACGCAACTTTGCACCTCACCATTTTGCACATTTTCCAACGCCCGTGAAGCTTCGTTGATTTTACGCTGGCCTTTGCCCTCCCGACTGTCGTTTCACGTTTTATCTAACTGCATCCTCTTCAACAACCCTATCGCCTCCATATATCGGTCCAGCAGCGTCCAGGAATTCGACCGTAGAAATTGGTGAGTTTCACGAACACCGCTGTAGCACAAAAGATGAGACATCGAGACATTTGCACGTCAGTCGGAGTGATGAGCGCCTGCGCTCGTCGTACAGGACGTCAACTACGCATTCACTGATTTTTTTTCTCACCATGTTCCAATGTGCTCGATCGCTCACTATGTACACAGCACCTTAGTCTTAATTTCATCAAGGAAAACGTACCTCCGGCGCTGGCTAAGACGTGTGTACTCTCGATTTCGAAATGCGCCGCGCCGCCTACTCAGCACACAGTCCAGGTCCATGTCTGCTGGGGCGCCATTATCGTCCTCCCCGGCAGTAAATGGTGCCGAATCGACCGCAGTTCCTCTCGTTCCCACCAACACTGTCACGACCGCGGCCGGTCTAACTGTGCGGACTCGTATTGACCCAGTTCTTACTG